TAATTAATATATATGTAAACAGTATACATATATACAACATCGTGAAATACCCAGTGAAGCGGGTGGGTAATGGCTAGTATATATATATATATTTGTGTGTTTGTGTGTATAATGAAACACGTATAGCATTTCAAAACCCTAAATTCATGTTGAATCTCTGATATATTTAATATTCTTGTCGGTACGGTAGATTATAGGTAGTCTAACTTCGTAATTGTGATTGTAGGCCAACTTCGTAAGCCTAATATTGTGGGTTAGATCCCGGGTAGAGTCGATAGATTTTATGGATGTGAAAATATATATAGATTTTCCGGATGCATAATCATATGATGCTGACATGTCATGTGATTATGTGGCTTGTAAAATATCCCTTGTGTATCAATTTGTCTCTGATACTCTCAACAAAATTAAATCAAGGCAATATTTAACTCCCAAAGAGAGCTTGAATAAAAGAAGTTAAGTGACGTTTGGTAGCGGGAGTCGCCACTAGATGCTGCTGCCACCATGAATCGGCTTCCCCATTTGTGGACTTCCCGTGACTGCAAAAACTTAATTGTCAGTTCTCATCCCATTAGGAGTAAACATTACTGTTCTTGATAATTTCGGAAGTTTATTCTGAGCAAACTATAGGAAATATATTTTAGTTAATATAACTTATTGATAAATAAATGTAACGAAAATATTTTTATTGAATACATTTATATTATACTTGCACAAATACAACAGTCAGATAAACTTCAAGAGAATACTCGGTTGACAGACTTACTGTTTTTCTTAAATAATACAATAAACAAATCAAGTATATCAGGTACATAATAAAAGTAAAGGATTTATTTGAGTGAACTTTTAGAATTTAAGCCTAAATTCTTTCACGTAAAACTGAAGTTAACAAACACTCTTTTAACAAATTTCTGTGTAAATATCTACTTATAGTTACAAGCAGTTTGTTATAATCATAAGGGAGCTTCAATGCAAAAACCAAAATAGTTCTTAGCTATAAAGTGTGCTAAAAATAGTGTATAACAAAAATAACAAAATTTACAAAAAAGGTTGCGATACATCAAATGATGAAGCGTTCTTTCTGTAATTGATTTGTAACCCACGGATATCATTCCTCAACACGCACGCAAAAAAGTAATTTTCGACTACAATTTGATACGTTGAACAGCCAACAAAACAAATAAAAAATTCCGAAATCGCGTGCAACATTGAAATTGCATTATAAAAATAAAACAATGGAAAGAATCTTACAAAACAAACGATTTATTTTGTGCTTTGGTTCTACTGCTGGCACGCTCATGAGACTGGTGAACAGCTGATATAGGACTGATTAATTTTTTATAAGCCTTTTATTTTTTCCTGCTTTGTACAGATTTGTGAAAATATGAAGTCGTAGTAAATTGGGTTTTTAATAATGATGTGGCAACAAACGAGGATATTATTAATAACAAGTTTTCTTTTCTAACATGAAAACCGAAGTTAACATATTAACCTAATAAGAATATGTAAGTATTCTAAATGATTTTCATTTCTTTAATAATTTAATCATTAAAAATCATAAAAAATGCTTTGACCTTTTTATTCAATAATATTTTCATTAATATATATCTAATTTACCCCACTGGTGCTTTTGTTGTGCCCCTGATACGAATATTATATTATTGATCAAATAAGAGCATTTTTTAACGTGTCATAAGTTTACTATTGCCAAAATGAATAATGATACTTTAAAACAATAATACTGAACAGGTTTTTGTTTGTTTTTGAAAAAAAAAAGAGAATCAATACAACTTTAAAGAAAAAGGTAATTATTTTTTTATAAAGACCATTACACTTACGTAATAGATATGTGTATATTTATGACTGCTTGTATTTAGAAAAAATTGCTTAAACCAAAATTTTAATATGAATATATGTATATATACGTAATAATTCCCTCTAGAGCATCTTGTTAATTAACTCATTTTAATAATTTTTAAACAAGCTTTAATTCTTTGGTTCAAAGCTAAAGCTTTAATCTTAATCGTAGTAGTATCTGAAATCCCTATCTTGCCCATTTTAACCAATCAGAGCTCTTATTACAAAACAGTCGCATGATTGTAACAGCCGGGAGAAATTTTAAGAAAAAAACGCCGATAATTTTTCAATTGGTGGTAACTCTAAAAATAATGGGAATTTTTCAAAACTCCTAGTTCAGACTCTCTGGAGAAGTCTTTACTTTATATAAGCAATATATATATACACACTGCTGGACAATTGCTAAGGACGGATCACAAATTGCTATGTAGCATAACATTAAGCGAGACATGAGACCTAGTAGGATAAACTATAGTTGCCACACTGTTCAGACATTAGAATAAAGAATATTTATTGTTCTGGAAAGTACAAAGCTGTGAAACATCTGAAAGAAAAAAAAATTGTTCATTTGATCTGCGTACGGAGAAATGGAACAATACATCTAAAAGTCAGCAGGCACCTTAAAGGAAGGTATCAGTACGGGATATGTCCACCGTGGAGTGTGATGCAACATTCCACACGTCGTACCATACTTTGCACAACATTATCCAGCAGCTGTTGAGGCAATTTATCCCATTCCTCTGTGAGTGCACGGATGAGGGTGTTCTTGTTTGTCGGAGGATACTTTCGACCAGCAACTTGCCTCCCCAAAGCATCCCACACATTTTTAATGGCGTTTAGATCTGGAGAACGCGCTGTCCATACGAGACGTTGAATACCCTCGCTGTCTAGACAATCCTGAACAGCCAGTGTTCGATGACATGTTGCGTTGTCGTCCATATAAACAAATTTATCACCGACAGCACCATGGAAAAGACGAACATGAGGAAGTAGAACTTCATCAATGTATCGTTGGCCCGTCATAGTCCTATTCGCAACCTCATGTAGGCGCGTGCGGCCATTGATCATGATGCCGGCCCACACCATGATACTGCATGTCGGATATCGGTCCTTTTCCTGGATATTTTCTGGACGATAAGCAGTACCACTCTCGCGCCAGATCAGCTGGCGTCTAATATCCGATGACAGACTGAACCTACTCTCATCTGATAATAGTACGCATGCCCAGTCCTGTTCAGTCCAATTGTGATGCTCACGTTACCATTGCAAACGGGCAGTACGGTGCTGTCTGGTCAATGGGACACACAAAACAGGTCTGCGTGTGTATAGTCCTCCTCCCCTCAAACGTCTGGCAACAGTTTTTCGGGAGATCTGCTTTCCTGAGGCAGCAAGAAACTGATTTGCCACCTGCTGAGCTGTGGTGCGCTTGTTCCCTTTTGCTGATTAGACGATAAATCTGTCTTCTGCAGGCGTCGTACTTCTAACACGACCAACCCCGTGCCGTTTACTACACATTCCAGTAGTTTTAAATGACTTCCACAGCCGTGAAACAACGCTGTGAGTGATGTCGAACTCCCTGGCAACATCTGTTATTTTTCGCCCTTCTTCGATCTTTCCAATAATTCGGCCACGCATAAAATCATCTATGTGATGTCGGGAAGACATGGCAAAATTTTAAGTTCGTCTATTAAATCTTTCCTGTTAAACTTTGACTTGAAACAACAACTGTCCACACGGGTCAAAACCTTTAAAGCTCTTATGAATGCTATCACGTGATGAACAGACGTGGAAAAAAATTTGCATACTCATACTTCTTCTTACTAATATCCCGCACTTATTCTAATTTTCCACATTTTGCTTCCTTTCATTTTGTGGTTGCTATGGATGATAGTGTTATCCGTCCTTAGTAATTGTCCAGCAGTGTATATATATATATATATATTTGTAGGAGCATTTTTATAAAAGGAGAACGTTTTGGAGAAAGATTGTTCTAAGTTAAATTTTAGCTAAAATATTGTATTTAAATATTTTTTTTGTTTGTCAATGTCCTTAAAATAATTTTATACATGTATTATAATCTAAGTGACACTAAATATCATGGAAATTATCCATTTATGCGCTTTTTTTAAATCACGGTTCCGAACGTAGTCGGATACCTTAATTATTAGGTTTCTCTACTGTAGTTATGTAGGTAAATACATATTTTATCTATTTATTTTTGTTAAAATCCAAATAGTGTTGAGCTTTTTTTTTGTTCATCACATCTACGTCACAAGTTGGACCACAACACCTTGAAAAATTAAAAGTAGACCCTGCTATTTAAAAGTCTACTCATCCCTGCTTTAGAGGGACATGGTACAATTTATACAAAAAAAATGATTTAATGTTTTTACAATTTTTGTTTGTAAACTAGGTTTTTTTCATAGAGCTACTTAAGGGACCTGGTACAATTTATAAGAAAATAATTCAGTGGTTTTCATAAAATTTTCGTTTGCTTCTTTTGAATTTGTATGAAGTAAAACAGAGTTTTAGTACTCAAAATACTACTAAAAGCTAAGCGTAAATTTTTTAAACAAAAATTTAACAATTGATGAAGTTATTTTAAAACGCTCCTCTTCCTGTAACAATGGATGTAGATGCATGAATTTTATTTTCAAGTACATTTGTATATTAAAATTTGGTATGGTTATTCAGCTAACATAATTTATATCTTAAAAATGTTCTTGATGAATACTTATTTAAAATTCCTTGAAAAATGTATAAACTGAATTGAACTGTTTTTGCAAAAACAGGTGTCGCTTTCATTCAAAAATTCATACTAACTTTTGTTACATGTACTAATAGAATTAGCTAAAAACAAGTAACATAAAAAAATAAGTCAGTTCCTACTTATAGATCAACAAAGAGAAATTTTGTTTTACTTATTTTTATTAAATAGTTACATTTAATATAATAATGTATATACATATGACAGAATCCCAATATTAAGTGACAAATAGAAAAATATTTCCTTTGCAATTTTCCATTTTCCATTCTATATATAGTGTTAAACTATTTTTGTTTGTTACTATTTATTCATAAATTAAATTTAAATGTTCTAATAAAATCGTGCAGTAAAAAAGGAATCCCATTCCAAATTAAGCCATCCCAGATGGGATTTGAACCCAACACTGTTGGATTAGAAGTCCAATGCACTATCCATTGCGCTACATGGATACAACAAGCGAATTTCATTTCTATATATTTCGTTGGACTGTTATTTTTGTATTTTATTATTTATTCATCTTTTAAAATTTATTCAATGGAATATTTGAAAAAACTGTATTAACATCAAGTGTCATCCACTACAAGTTTTAAAAATGCACTTGAACTTAACTAGATAAATACAAAATACTTTATTAACGATTGCAAATTTGAACAAGATATATTTATAAATATATGTATATAGGGAGAGAGTGAACTAATAGTAGGAATTGAAAAAATACCTTAGCATGTAAAAAAATAATAAACTTGTGTTTTTTTTTCTTTCTGAGAAAAATCAATTGAAAATTTTATTTTCCATAGGAATGCGATTAAAAACGAACATGAAAGTTATAATAATGTTATTTAACGTAGAGCTTTCAAATTTTGTGAAACTATAAACAATTATAAAAAAAATCAATTGAAACTAACAAAATTTATTTTAAATTTTTAACTTATTTTTGTTAATTGAATCGTACTGTGTTCCCTTTAATTGTAAATAATTATTCCTACCACGTAAAATAATGTATTTGCCTCGATAACTCACCCAAATATGTTCAAAATATACTTTATGCTTACACCATGTATTACTTATGATTTACTATCTACATTTCAGAGTAATTTCAGCCGTTTTATCGAAAATCGGGCTAATATTTCTGTATTTATGAGTCTGGACAAAACTCGTGAATGATGTCACGAATACCCAGATTCATGGTCTTTAGTAATTCTAGAATGTTATGGTATTTTCCCATTCCGTTGCGACGTCTATAAGCGTGCTTCTATGACATAAACTTCTATCCTTACGTCTTATAATCACGAAACTAAATTGAATATATCGTAATATATAGTACTTTCAGAAAATTACTGCAACAGATGGATTTTAAACTTGTTATAGGTCTGTGTTTAGTGTCTTAATGAATGTGCATATGAAATTTAAGGAGTAATAATGTAGTTGTGTCTCCCTTGATGCTAGATAGAACTGAGTTCTTTCTTATTAAAAAATAGCGACAAATTCAGTCTTCGAAGTCCAGACAACTATGGCCATTACTAAATATATGGTAATATTCAGCTTTGAGGGATATAAGATTGAGATATAATAAGTAAATCACAGTATTTTTTATTTGTTGCACTTTTATTTTAATTTTTAAAATTTGCTTCTCAGAAATATTTTAATTTTTACTACTTCTTAAATTAATAATAATAATAAATAATCTATATATAATCTCCGTTATTCTTACTTAAAGTGATTTTAAGACTCTCTAACACACATGTTTAGCTTTTCTTCATTTAAACCACATTACATTGAATGGTGTTTTGTTATGAATATGTATCATATACTGTTTCCCCTGTTTTAACAATAAGTCAATATAATGCGTTCGATATTATATTTATATTATTTTTACACTCTTTTCTTAATTATATACATAAACTAAAATGTCTTGAAATAAAATGCAGTTAAAAATAGTAAACACAAAAAATCCAAAGATAAATGTATATACTAGGACATGAGTTTTGCCAATGTAATTTGATTTTGATTCTATTTTACTTCCCACTCCAAAACAACTCAAGGGCTATTGGCAAAGAGCCTTATAGTTTTCAGCTATGAATAAGCGACGAGAATGACGCTTGAGGGGTTACCCCACACTTAAAATTTCCCACCATGACAACGTTAGGACTTAAGTCTCCCTGAATTTCAAACCCGCCATTCAACAACGCTAACCAAGATCTCGCGAGCATGGCCAATCACCTGGAACTGTCATATTCTTGTTGTAGAAAGTACAACACTAGGTATTCAGTCACACATATTACTGAAATCTTTAATGTAATATTAATGAGAAAATTCTTAAATAATATTACGCGTGAATTTGAACAAACATTTAATCTCTAAGTGTTTCTTTCTTTAAAAAAATAATATTTTCTTAAAATAAATAAACAAAAACCACTTCATTCTACACAACATTGCGCTAAAAAATTATCAAATTGTTCTTTATTTATATCTTATTTAAAATAAATATGATAAATTTAAATGTCTCCCAACTAGCATTTTTACTTATCTTTATTTATTTTCTTTTTGAATGCTGATGATGTAAATGTAATTTGCTGGTTATAAAAAGAGAACTTTTTAATAGATTACTAGAAGGATAAAACATCGCATTTACACCATTTTTATGCCGATTTACAGGTTGTCATCAAAATCACAACTCTATAAAAGAGAGATATCACAAACGTTAAAAAGTGAAATAAATATATCGTTCTCACACGAAAAAACGATGCTGGGATTTGCAATAATCTCAATTTAAGTAAAATCGTTTGGAGCTAAAGGTAGAATGGCTTCTCAAACTATGAATAAAAGGAAAATTATGAACAAGTTTCACACTCTAAAATCGCATCTGAAAATGAATCGTTTGTGAGAATATTGTATTATGTCTCGTATTATATAGACGGAAAAATTGCTTCCTACGAGTGTCAAATTTGGATAAAAACAAGACCTTAATCTATAAAGCAGATTGTCATTTCATGATATTGCAACTTGTATTCGGCGTAATCCAACGAATGTTATGAGGACTATGTGATCAATATGTTCGTAAGGACCATATTGAACAAAATGCTACCTCTCAACGTACATTCACATCACAGACCACGTCCGTAAAAGAGCTTGATTGCATCACAGAAAGTACCCGACACACACACGTTTGCGAAGATGCCTGAAACAACACTGACTGAACGCTCGAAAATTATTACAGCTTCCCTTGAGATCGCAACACAGACACGTGTGAAGACAGTGGTGGGTCCTACTACCAAACTGCATACATCACAACTCAGACTTTCCATACTTGTGACCCAACATTCAATCAGTTCTTAAATCGTTTCTACACCCTCCATGCAATAAAAATGTATTGAATTCCATTATACTGTACTTTGCTGCTACAGCTAGAATACAAGTTAAGCCTCTTAAATGATCACTGCGTATATAAACGTCTTACTCAGCCGAACTGTTATTTTCCACGGACGTATATATACGTTTTACCAAAGTGCGGTCTTTTCTGTGAACTTCGATCCATACAATTATTCCGAAGGCTATAGAATACATGAAAACAGCCTTAACAGTGTGTCCGGGGGCATTGGGAGCGAATTGCCTAACACTTAATCGGCAGTCAAAGGATTCATTATAAACCGAAGAAGTTATCAAGATAAGTGTTAAATGTTGTATATGATTTTATATATGACAAGAATATGGGGTCATTGGGAATTATTAAACTTTTTCTTAATTTAGTATCGTTAAGTTAATTATCAAACACATTGTGTAGCATTTATACACTTATATTACATCAGTGTAAATGTGTATTTTATTTTTTATTATGTCAGAATGTCTTTTGTTTACTTTCAGTAAATTAGTATTTTTTAAAATAATCTTTTTGCTTTAAGCATTTCCATGTGCTCGCGCCCCTCTCGTAGAGTTATCGCGCGCCCAAGGGGGTGCCCCACAGTTTGAGAAATGCCGGCATACATAAAGTTCTTTTTCTGTGTCGATTCTGTGAGCAATATCATGTTAGTCGCAATGACTGAAGGCACAGGGAACACGCGAGGCGTGCTCGCATTCGCTATCTTCATAAGTTCCTGCGCATGGTATGATGATATTGGCAACCAATGAGACGATCCGAACACTTTTTAATCTCGTCGTCAGTAATAAGAAGAGCCAGCGCTACATTTCTCAAATTTTGGTCGATATGGTTTTTCTTATCTCCGAGGCCACGAAGGCGTCATCCTTCAACAAAATAATCAAATCAGCATGCTGTCCACTGTATTCGGACCAAACTCGACGCGTGTGAAGTTTGACTGTTGCCTTGGTTAAGAGGTCTCAGGGGTGTTAAATTTTTCTAGAGGTCTGAAAATATAAACGATTTTCAAACGCGTATAATTCTTTTAAATTTAAATTAAATTATTCGAATCTTTTACGTATTATTTAAAATAGAATGGGGCTTCAGAAAAGTATAAAATGTTTAAAATATACTAATAATTTTAAAAATCATAAGCATATAAAAATTCTATAATAAATATTAAGTATTTTTTGCTTTGCGCACACTATTTTCTAAAATAGTAGCATCTGATGTATAAAACTTTATAGAATTATACAATGCATCATACTCTTTAAACCCTACCTAATTTTAGTATTTTATATCTTTTGTGTTTCAAAATATTTGTAAAATATTGCAATTTTTTAAATATTTTTTAAAAATACATGTTTTTAATTTATTAAAATATGTAAGTTATTATTCTTTTTATATAAAAGTAGCTACAAAGTATTAAGAATACATTTGTCTTTATAAATCAACTTAAAAAAACAGCTAGTAATTAAACCTACTCTTTTAGAAAATAACATGCGCGACGTAAAACTTAATAAATATTTCTTATAGAAAAGTTTCTTATGTTCATATGCATATAAAATTTAAAATTATGATTATATTTTAAACATTTTATACTTTTCTGAAGCCGCATTCCTTTATAAGTAATGCGTAAGAGATTCGAATTATATAACTTAAATTTAAAGAAAATATACCTGTTTGAAAATTGTTTATATTTTCAGACCTCCAGAGAAATTTAACACCCCTGTGACCCCTTAACACTTTTGCTCCTGATATCCCACCTATTGAAAGCATCTAGTCATAAATTGCTAAGAAACCAGGCAACCCCACTGTCCACCCACTACCACTGATGGTTTTGAGAACTGGAAATACTGTATTGAAATGATACTTCACAACTAATATTTTTGTTTTATCAGAACCTTATGTCTTTTTTAATGAAATGAATTTATTATTTAACACAGACATTTTTGAGGAACGAAAGCTTAAAAACATGGTAATCTTAAAACATGAAATCTTAAAAACAAGAGTTGAATATTTTAAGATATATAGTGGGAACTGAAAATTATTTACGACATGTTTAATTTTTGTGAAGTTGTTTCTTTTTAGTATGCC